GCAGTTACGTACGTGCTAGGGTTTACCTACAAGCAGGCAATAACATGCTTTTTTGCTGATGAGTGTATTTGTTGTTCTGGAACCTATAAAAGCAAGTGCCAGAAATTTGTGACAGGCATATGTTTTGTCCTATAAGGCTGTGCAACCAAGGGTAGCCAGGTGCTTAATGGGATCATTGGTGGCTGAAGAACAGTGACTGAAACTAGGCAAGGTAGAGGAACTTTGTCTGATAAATAGCTGTTGGTTTGAGAGTTCATAGCCCTTGTTTTGTGTCTTTGGTTGAGAACAGTTATCCAAAATTGATCTCTTTAATATGAAGGACAAGAATATTTATTTGACTCTCAGCTGCCAGAAGCCTTATGTAGCATGTCAGTAACACTATGTGAAATAACTGTTTTGCTGAAAGATTGTACCTGTTGAAGACTCTGTGTGGTTCACTGACTTATGCTCTATCCTCAGTTACCCACAACTTGGTCAAGCCAAGAACTTACAAAGAACTGGTAGACCCTTGGTAAGCTCCTGTGGCTAATAAATGCTGCAGTGCTCTTAGCAATGCTGACTTACCACACGCATGTAATAACAGCCTTCAGTTCCTAATTATAGTCCTACAGAGTATTGAATTTAGATTAAGGGAGTAAGTGGTCTAAGGATAGTTAGGAGAGGCCATGTGAATATAATTTCACAGTGTTTTGGCAAATGAATACCTGACCCACATATGAAAACTGTACAATGAGTGTATTCTGCAATTTATTAGAATAAGTTTGTGTGCACTTACCTGTTGTGATAGTTGACATTATTTGTATTCACAATTTCATGGATGTGAAATTAAACAGCAAGCATCTTAATGTAATATTAACATAGAGCTAATCCAGAGCCATTTTTATTGAAATTCTTGCAGTGAATTATTATAACTTTTCTGAAATCTAGCCCAACAGCTAAATGCTTAGTGCATGGGATGTTTGTTCTAGGGCATTCCTGAAATGCAGGACAAAATTACTTTCTAGTTGTTCTTAGTGACTGAATGCTTATTTGTCTTAAATTGTTCTGGAAGATCTCTTATTTCCAAACCAGTGTGAGTATTTCTTAGCAGTTAAGATACAGACAAGGTGAATTCAGAGACTTTTCCTCCTCATATTTGTGCATAAATCTGTTGTTCAGAAACATGGGGAAATTGTTCTTGTAAGTAAGCATAAAAGTTAATGGAATCTCTCCCACCATTGTGACAATGTAAGTCCGTCCCAAGGCTGAAAATGAAAACTACAGAGTTAAAATTTTTCTGAATGTTTTATAATATTTTTCTGTTTGTCTTAGGGGTAAATTGCCTAGATGTGTTCGTAGTAGTTATCTCCCTTTCGTATTTAACAATACTCAAACCAAACAAAAAAACCCAACCAAAAAACCAACAACACAAATGTTTCCCAAATCTAACATGACTTTGCATCTGTCATTACACCCTTCTTCAGATGTGAAAATAACGTACTTATGGAGCAAGCGTTCAACTTTTCTATTTTTTTGGCTGGAAATGAATCCTGCCATTTTTGTCCTTGGATTTCTTTAAATAACCAACTGTAGTCCAACTTCACATTTGAGTATGTGGCATCTGTTTCAAAATGAAATTTAGATACCAGAAACATGTCTTTTCCCAGTAACTTCTGCATTTATCACTGACATACAGTCTACCTTTTTCTATCCATTTCCTTTATTTTAGCTGGTGTATGCTGAGCAATCTTTACATTGAAATGCAGACGGCAGAGGACAGGCTAGCTGAATTGACACTGTTGTCGGAGTACCACTGCATGAGCAGTTTTGGAAATGAGAGGTGGAGTGTATTCAGCAGGGACCTTATTTTAGATTGGGACACCCTGATAGCAAGCCTGGTGTTTCTGGGTCAAAACTGGATTGATCTTATAGTTCCTCTCTTCTCAAAGGTAGGAACACAACGAGGGATGTTACAAGCATGCGTTGGAGTGCAAATACCCTTGACACCTTCATGGCTACCACAGCCCATCTGTTCTGTTCCCAATCCAGTTTTTGTTTTGTTATGTTTTTCCCTTCAATGTACCCAGTTTGATACTGCTGATTACCAAAAATTGTTCATCTTAAGTTCAGTTTTGTGTTCTGCGGCAGCAGCAGGAGGGTAGAGAAAACCATATGTAGTTCTACATATGGGAAATTATATAAAGTGGAATTTAGAGCTCGATGTTGCCAGGAAAATGCATATTCAAGAAGCTTCTCTGGTATGTCAAGGAGCATTTTTGTGACAGAAATGTCATAGATCAGCTTTTCAGTGTGAATGTAGAAATATTAAATCAGGAGAAAGTATTTGATGGTTGAAAGAGTTGGGTGTAAGATTCTTTTTTAAAACATTATTTTTAAAATCATGGTTATAACATTGTTATTTTTAGGAACCAAAAGTTATGGTTCCCTGTGATAGCAGGAGTCTTTGGGTCAAATTATGATTCATATTGCTAACTGCTTTAAATGTGTGATGCTGGCTTGAAAAAAAAAATATATTCATATATGTGTGCATATATATGTGTCTAATTATAAACAGCTATACAACTTAGATGTTTTTCCTTGAGTCCTCTTTATTCATCTTTACTGTAGTGATTCATTATTTTCTACAACTAATGATAGAAAGATTTGTTAAAAATAGTTTTTTTACTTTAATTGCTCTGTACAGATCTGTTGTCACTTCTGCAGACCTAATCTCAGAGAACCTTTTATCTTCTTCTGTGGTAATCTTTGTTTCACCTTCACCTCTGTCCCTGGTGTCATAGTTTGGTCCTTTGTAGAAGAATAGCTGTTATGCTATTGACTTTGACTTTTACATGGAAATAAAATCTGAAGTTGATATTTAGTTAATTTAAGGTTCTAATAAGGTCTTAGTAGCTGACATGCATTTCCAGTTATCTGCTACATCATCTTCTTTTTTTTTCCCTTTCTGGGTTTATTGAAGTGAACATAAAGAAAACAAAATTAGCACATTATACTCTGTCAAGGTCAGCTTCCATTTAGATTTCAGGCTTTTTGCTCAGTGCTGTTGCAAATCACACTTGCTATTTCCAGTGATATTAAATCAAATTACTTACGGGTTAGATACAGTAACATCAAACAAAACAAAGTAAATAAACCAACCCCATCTGATTATGCATGGGACAAAAGGGACTTTTGATTTGGTTCCAGTTACTGATTTTTTTTTTTAATTGTATAAGCAAGTACCAGTGTTTCTTTTAAATAAAGGGGAATGGTTGTAGTGGTGCGATACTTCCTGCAGGTATTTTTTAAAGTCATGTGATTTGTTTCTGTGGTGTCCCAGCTGTACAGTATTTGAGAGCTGTAGAACATTGTGATGTGAATGGAGTGCTGGTTGTTCTGAGCTGAGGAAAGTTATCTTCCAATTTATACAGCATTCCAACTACAAAATTTATTTCTCATATGCTTGTAAAATCTAGTATCTTGGCTGCAATGTGAGGCCTCATTTAAAGGTTGGGGCGGTTTTTTTGTTGTTGTTGGTTTTTTGGTGTTTTTTTGTTTGGTTGGTTTTGGTTAGTTGGGGTTTTTGGTTGGTTGGTTGGTTTTTTTTCTCTCCCCAATATGCAACTTTAATTGCTTCGGTTTATTTCAGTTTATTCTGTTCTGTGCCATTACTTCAAATGTATATGTGGATGATGTAGTAATGCCAGACTGATTGAATAATCCGTTGTTGTGAGGTGATCACTGCATGGGCTCTGTGTGTGCCTGCAGTGATGGTCTAGATAGTGAGTCATTTAACCTTAAAAATGTATCCTCAACAGTTAGAGAAACCACTCTTACTATTGCAATGTGATAATCGTGAAATAAGTTATTAGGACAGGTGTGGGTTTAGGATGAGTACCTACCTTTAGCTGCATTTCTAGCTCTGTTACTAGCTATGTTTTTTCGGATGCTTTAAGAATGTAGCTAGATTAATGACGTATTTATGAAGTGTTTATTAGTTAGTATGAAATTTTGAAAGCTCAGTTCTAGCTTAGAATCCATCTATAACATTTTAGTAATCTTAAGACTTAGAAATATGTATCAGATTGTGTGGTTTGCTGGGATATTGAAATCAAAATAATCTTAGATTTTCAAGAGTTGAATACAAATATTTCTTGGTAATTTTTATTAGACTTGGAGATTCAAAGTTAAAATAACACTTGTTATATGGTCTTTTTACAAGCTGTTGCATATTGTTAGCAGAACCTTTACAGTAATTTTGTCATGGTCTTTGGAGATACATAAGAAGTTATAAGATAATTGATTATGACAGATAAAATAATTTAATTTTTATGCCTTAAGAACAACTTCTAGGTGGTGATTGTTTCTCCTCCTTTTCCCTGGTTATTGCATCTGCTTTTAGATTAAGAGTTTGTTTTAGCTGTGATCTCTTTTCTGATTTAGGTGGTCTTTAACATTTAGGAAAATTCTCTTTTTATATTTTCTGTTTTTTCCTATTTTAGATTCACTGGAAAGAGAATGAAATAAACATGGAGTCTTCTAAACTGGAATGTATTTCATGGGTTACAGTTAAAAGCAAAAAGAAGATGGAACAAAATGAGAGAACAGGAGTATAACACCTCTCAAGAACTTCCCATTTTTCGATATACATGAACTTTCGATATAATACTGCTGATGATTTATAGTAATACTGTATTGATATTCCTGGAAGAAGTCAGTGACTGCAACTTGCTTAATAAGAACTTTTATTCTAATAACCTTTAACGTTTTTTAACCTTAACTAGACACTTTTTAAAACAGTGTAAGAGTGAAAAACTTTGTATACCTGTATTTTCACTGACAGACTGATCCTGATAGATGACTGACAGCTGGACTTAAACGTATGAATGGCTGCTATTGCAGAGTTGAATGGAACGCTATGGCTTTAGGGCAGTTCTCTTAGGACCTTCTTCTTTGCCTTGCACCCATCGTATCCTTAAATATTCAAGCATCAATATTGCAATTATAAAGTCTAAAAAATAATGGCATGGGTGAAATTCTTAAGAAAACCTGGGGGTAACCTTGGAAAAGTTTATCAGCCTGGAAGTATACTGTCCCTGGCCCCTACAAAAGGCTTATTAAATGAACCAGGACAAAACAGCTGCTTTCTTAATAGTGCTGTTCAGGTAAGAAAAAAACTTGATTTATTAAACAGTTTTGGTTTTGTAACTGCTTACATTGTACTAGTAGGGAAGGTGTTCTCTTGGCAATGCTGTTTTTACGATTTATACATGTATTCTACAGAAAATTACAGCATGTTTTTCAATGGTGTTAAATTCAGTTCTCAGTTAAACTTCTTAATGATTCCAAGTAAGACAGAATAGCCTGTCTTTTTGGAATTGACTTTCCAGGGGTGAGGGGAGAAAGAAAAAGTAGCAATTGTAGAAAAAGACACAACTATGTGGAAGTAATTTTATTTAGCATTTAGTTTTAATGAATTGATTGTGAGTATTAAATAATTTTTAAAAAACCTGACAGCATTTTATTTATTTGCATGCATTAAGAGTATCATGAAAACTTTCATATTTGTAAACCAATAAACTTATAACTTTAAAACATACTGCTTGAATTTTAAAACTAACATTTCTATCAAACGTAGCATTTTTTGTTACTTGCCAAAATTTACAAGACACTTTCTAATGTGGGGCAACCAGTGCTACTACTTGTATTGAAAAGGACACATTTTACTAAAATACCATTTTCTCAGAATTAGCACACGAGTCTGTGGTACTGGGATATATCAGGAGATGCACATAAAGTTGAAATCTTTGATTCTAATCTTGGGAAAGATTTGCGGAATTAGAGTAGGAGATGTACTTGATACCCAAGAAATATGACTTAGATTTCTTATTACTGTTTCTGTGCATGTGCATTAGAGACCAGCTTCTTGCATGTGTTTTTCTACATGCCGTTCTGGTTTCACATGAGCTATAAATGATCTTTAAATCTCTCAAGTATAGCTTAATAGTACAGTGACATTAGCGTGATAAAAAAAATTGAGCTTTTACAAGTGTACTTATGACAGGTGATATGAGGACTACTGAATTCTGTGACAGAGTGGTGCTAGTTTTTCCAGTTTGTCTGCAAGTCAGAATACCAGGCACAGCTTAATTTCTACTGTAGTCTTTTCAGCTCTAAAAATTAATAACAACAAATTTCCACGCTTTGCAAAAGAGCAGAACAATGTATATTGTTGAAATGCTTAGATTTTGGACCTGATAATTTAAAATTTGTACAGAAATATTTGCTGAACTTCCAAAGGGTTTAATAGATACTTACACTTACTAAAAAAATGTAAGTCTTAAAAATTACATGGATTTAAACATAGGCTGTACAAGAGATATATCTACATGGTGTCTATGTGTATGACATCTAAATACGTTTAAAATAAACTTGTGCGAAAGATTTAGTAGAATGAGTCTGCTGGTTTACATTCAATGGGAACAGCATGGCCTATATTCTCCTGCAGTTTTGCTATTTTCCCCTAGGGTGCCCTAAAATTAAACCCTAAGTCGTTCTTAGTTATAGTTTCAGACAATCCTACTATATCACAGCCTGCTGCTGTTTATCAAATGGTGGCTGATGATTGGTAGCTGCTGTTTTACAAGGAGGAATGTGTTCTTTTCCTCTTCTTTTCACCTCTGTTCAACCTTCACAACTGAGGTTCTGACACTCATTTTTAAATGCATCCTAATTCATTTTAGCTTTTATATTTATAGGTAGGATTTTTTTTTTCTGGATTTGCAGCTGTTTTACTGTGCCTCTTGAGAACTCATTTTTGGGGGTTTTTTTTCCTCTTTTTTTAATGGGTAACTTTCTGAACTACTGCACTGACTGTGTACCTAAGACATAAGGTAGTGAAAGCAGTGTAGTGTAGCTAAGCTGACATTAACTTTATGTAGAGTAGTTACACAGATAAAAGGTAGAAACTTACATCTGCTTAAGCACTAGGATTATTTTGATCTGTGGAAAAACAAATGTATTTCAACAATTATGTTAGTAAGAGACCATAGGAATGTAGTACAGACTTAACCTGAAATGATGCTCGCATTTTATCTGCAGTTCAATTTCCATGTTTCCATCTTTTTTTTTTTGATGAAGAAAGCAGGGAGGTGAGGAGAAAGAGGGAGAGAGAGAGAAATAGAAATTATGTAAACCCCATAGCCACTTTCCTCTTATGTAAAGCCATGAGAAGACTACTGCAACATCTGTACACAGTTTAGCTTGCTGCTTGTTTCATCAAGAGTATTACAGCTCTCTTTCTACAAAAAGTACACTGTTTGCCATTGTTTCAGAAAGTTTTAAAAGAAGTTATAAATGTCTTGAGTGGATGTAAACCTACCACTTCAACAATTTACCAGACTAATGAAAAGGATCATCATTCTCATAGCAACGTTGATGCTTAAGTTGTGTATGTTATGTGATTTTATTTTAATCTACTGTATGTTGCTGTGTTAAACATAGAGCTTTCAGAACTTGTTATTTATTTTCTGTAAAACTTTATTTTTATAGGTATTATGGCAACTCGACATATTTCGACGAAGTTTAAGAGGTTTAACTGGACATGTGTGTCAGGGAGATGCATGCATATTTTGTGCTTTAAAGGTAAGTGACTTTTGGAAGAATCATCTTCCAAAATGAGGGAAAAATGATGTTACTAATTTATACTAATTTTTATCCCAATCGTACATATGTCTGTGTGACCCTAAATCGTTCTTGTGTAACGAAAGAATCTAGATTTAAGGATATGTGTAACAGGTGTTTGTAAAGAGAAATACTTTCTTGTGTTTAAAGAAGAAATTTTACACTGCACAAATTTACAGTCTGTTTGAACATAAGAATTTTGTCTATTGAAAGACAGTATAACTTCTATTTGCATGCATATACTTTTGTTCTTTCCAGTAGTGTTTCCAGTTCTTTCACTATGTTACTGTCTACTGTGTTACTGAGACCATATCAGTCTCAAGATTCTTTTTTTACTCAGTAGTTGGTGGTAACTGTCCAAAACTTAATAGTTCAGCTTCTAAGTAATGAAAGGCAGGTAGTAGTACTGGCTGTTGAAAACTGGTAACTTCTTAGTGTTTGAAAGTTAATCAGATCTGCATATCTTAACTAATGCATAAAATTTGTACTCCAAACAGTTTTGTAACTCGTCTGACGTCTGTAAACTAAGGTCGAATTCTGTTAGGTCCTTATTATCTTCTACCTCACTGGTATTTGACTGCTTGAGGTTGCTAGGGAAATAGCTGTAAGCATGATAGCTCTGATTCATTGGGATAAAAATCCAAATGAAAGAAGGTAGAGAGGTTTTTTGTATTTCTTTTTTTGTAACATGCGCTTTCTACTTTTACTGAAATTTGTCAATAAAGACACTTAGGATTCTAATACAGGACTGTAGAATGGATAATCAAATACAGTAACAGATACAATGATAAAAGAATTGAGAATCATGCATCTGGAGAGAGCTGAAAGGGATGGCACTATTTGATAATATAATTAATACGGGAAGTGTTTTTTGAGTGTGCTAAATTGTAGGCAAGGGTAAGCCAAGTATTTTAGAGTTTATTTGCAGGGAGTTTCACAGACCAAACCTTGTTACTGAATAAACATTTTAGGCAAGAACTGTTTGCACTGAAATGTATTTAATCTCTCAGGAGGTGTATAATCTAGGTACCATGTAGGGTTTTTCAGCCATTTTTAGTAGTTGCAGTATGGTACAGCTGGTTTTTAATGTGCCTCTGTTTTTTTTTCCAAACATATGTATTTCTAAAAGGTGTCATTTTATTTCTCTGGTTAAAATGGTATATTTTAAAAAGCCAATGAATTGACACAGTTTGAGAATACACATAGTCAGTCTTACTTCCTGAGGCTTTTATTCAAACCTTTTTACAAGCTCTTGACTCTGTTTCACCAGTGCTTTGATGTGTGTGATGTTCTTCTGTGTGCTGCACACTTGGTCTTGTTAGTACATAAAGTTAAGACCATAACTCAAGCATACCTGTGTTTTCAGATAAAATCTTGTGTCTGTCGTGGAATGATAGCTTCAGTTTTCTGGAATTGTGTGTGTATATGGATTCACGTTCATATCTGATGGTATAATATAGAATAAACTTCATGGCCTTTTCCTTTTGATTTGACCCATACTACATGTGAATTTATGGTCATATGAAGTCTTGTTCAATGCTTCACTGGAACCACCTTTAAGAAATGTAGAAGGATTGAAGGGTGACAGTTGCTGGAATGTATGTGTTACGCTACATCCTCTTAATGACTTGATGTCACTGAAATCAAAGTAAAAAATAATGTAGCACCCTCAGTGTGCTCAGAAACATGAAGAAGGTGTTGCCCATGATGTGTTGGAATTGAACCTGTAATTAGTGAATCGTTCCATTCTAATGGAGCACTTGTGAAGACCAGACACTTCTTTTTTTCCAGCTAAACATACCACTTGCTGTACCTTAATGCCCTCTCTCTTCCTGTAGCTTTTGGGACTCCAGTACAAATTGAGTTAGTTTTTACATCACTATTTTATTAGTATAGTTGGAGTCTTTATAATTCCATGGCCAGTAGCTTGGGTATTGAACTCAAAACATTGTGGTTAACTCATTTGGATGTATCTGCCTTTAGTCATTATGTACATTACTGGTTTTCCTTTCTTGCTTTTTAGAGATACTGGTTGAGTGATTCTGTTTGTTCTGTGTTCAGAACCTGAGGCATTTTGATATTCATGCAGTGTGTATGCTGCATTACAAAATGACAGAATGGTAGGGGTTGCAAAGGATCTCTGAAGATAATCTAGTTAAACACCTTGCTAGAGCAGGATGACCTAGAGAAGATCACACAGGAACATGTCCAGGCGGGTTTTGAATGTCTCCAGAGAAGGAGACTCCACAACCTCTCTGGGCAGCCTGTGCCAGTGCTCTGTCACCCTCACTTATATTTAAGTTGAACCTCCTATGTTGTAGTTTTTGACCATTGCCCCTTGTCCTGTCACTGGACACAATTGAGAAGAGTCTGGTCCCATATTCCTGACGCCTGCCCTTTAGATGCTTTTAAGCATTAATGAGATCCCCTCTCAATCTCCTCCTGGCTGAAGTGACCCAGCTCTCTCAGCCTTTTGTCATATAGGAGATGCTCCAGTCCCGTCATCGTCTTAGTGGCTCTACACTGGACTCTCTCTAGTAGTTCCCTGTCCTTCTTGAACTGGGGAGACCAGAATTATACGCATAACATGCATTTCAGTGTCTTACTTGTGGCTTGGGTTGTTTGAGAGTTTTGGTTTTTTTTTTGTGGGCTTGGGCTATTTTAACCTTTCTTACTTAGCAATAAGTAAGGATATTTTATCTATTTTTTTTAACCTTTGACTTTTTTATGCTCTTTGCAGGTGTTATGCTAGGGTTAGATGGATTTTTCTCAGCCTTTCCTATAAACTAAAAGCATTGCAAATAAACTCTAGTTTACTGCAGTTCAATCCATTAGCTTTTTGTTTTGATGGTGTTCTGAGAGTTATATATGCTCTCTTCCCAGGTTAACACTGGGGTGAGACTTTGACTACGCAAGCCACTAGAATGAGCATACATGTCTGCATAACTCTGCTTATCTGTACTCTTTTTAAACTGGACACTTAAGGCTCCGTTGCATACCAAAAATGACATAGCAGCCAAAATGAGAAGTGATAAATATTTTCGAAGCAGAGTTAATTTGTATTACCAGATCTGTTAAAAAACTTTAACTTTTAGTGCTTACTTTGAGACTGTAATTTTTATCAGTAGTCAATGCTTTTTATTATGAGAGAGGAGTTTAAATATTTGTCAGACACACTGGAATGAATAATGGTTAAAACTACTTTCTGTTGACACTGAAACTTTTCATATCTGTACAACAGAGGTTTTTTACCCTTGGAGGCCTATATAAAGAATGTATATCCTATCTATATTTTACATGGCTTCCTCTGATTTGCTTTGTCTTTATTTCTCTTCATTTTTCTCTAGAGTTTGACTTGGAATTCTTGACAGGGGAATATACTCTTTTAATATCTGCAAATGTTTTCTTGTTCGTTTAATAGCTTTTAATTTTCAGGTCTTTTAAAATCAACCTTCCTTACTTGCTAAATGATGAGGTCACTTGCATATATACGTATGCCAGAAATAAAAGTAGTAGCCCACTATTTCTTCTGGGAAATGAAGAAAAAAAATCAAGTGCAATTTATTTTCATGTTCTGGAACTGCAGATACTGACTTGTTCTCTTGTATTTTGTGCACTGGTTTGGCAGAGAGCTCATCTAATAGCAATGATCATCAGCTTTCTCTCTAACTTAGGTGAATTTTTTGCATATCCATAATTTTAATAAAGATACACTCCTGTCTGAAGTAGTAATGTCAATGTTGTGTTACTTAATGAATGATGGGTATTAAACTAACCTGAGTGGTATTACATTATGCCCTAAGAAATATGCAACATCTGTAAAGATGAGATGCTTATGCATGAACTGCTATTCCAGTAGCTAAATTTAAAAAAAGCTGCATAATTACAGACCAGGGCTTGTGTTTCTTCTGGGTACTAAAGTTAATCACTTGAATTTTTATATACTTGCATTTTTGTATACTTCTGTGGTGTTCTTCTACTGGATCAAAGTTCAGTTTGGTAGCAAATATAATGGAATGAGTAACAGAACACAGAACCCAAGTACCTTGAAGAGAAAACAATAATTTTTCAAGTTGCATAGATTTCTAACTATTTTATATATTTGATGTTTAGACATGCTGCATAAGAACTGAAGTATTTGTTTAGAACCACAGTGTCTAGTCAAGTGACTAATGAAGCTTAGTAATCGTATTTCTTCCTAGGCAATTTTTTCACAATTTCAACACAGTCGAGAAAAAGCACTCCCATCAGATAATATGAGACATGCCCTGGCAGAAAGTTTTAAAGATGAACAGCGTTTCCAGCTTGGATTCATGGATGATGCAGCAGAATGCTTTGTAAGTATTCTTTGCGATGGTTGGGTAGAATTACATTAGTTTTGTAGGTGTCTAGCTGGCTTGTTGTTTTGGTAGCTCCAGGCTCACAGATAGGATACAAGTGGTGTAATACTACTGACCTTCTTTATGCCAGTTTAAGGAAATGGAGTAAGTGTCTGTTAATGTGGGATGGAGTAATCCTGCATCTGCTCTGTACTTTCTTCCCTAACTCCTTAGCTCAGGCAGAGGGATATGAGAAACATCATTACTACAGGAGGTCAGTGAGGATAACTTCTTCATGTTTTTGGATGGAAAGAAGTGTTATCTTCTCTGGAGAAGAGACACCTATAATCTGTTCCTCCAACTGTTCTCTCATCACCTACTGAAATATGTTCCATTACAACTAGCCACCTTATTATCGACGTCTTTGACAGAAGAGATTTCCATTTTCTTATCCAAGAGTGATGGAATACTTGAAGCTCTTGACTTGTTGCAGTTACTTTCTGCTTTTATGAAGTGTCTCACTGAAAAAGATGAGCCATTACTGTGACCATAAAAGAGAACTCTAGATTGCGTAGAACACTGGTAAAGCAGCCTTTCTAAGGAGTCCTGTACTAGGCAGTGAAAACTGTTTGCCATAAAAAACCGTAAATCAGTATTATCCTTGATTACTTTCAGCTTTGTACATCCTTTGGAAGTGCTCACAAATGAATACCTACCTGCCAGATGCATTTTCACATACACAGGAAAATCCAGTGGAAAATCCAGGAAAATCCACTTCTGAAAGTGGCTGTTTGTGTTCTTGCCATCAGGTTAATGGATTGCAGTCATGAAAAAGAATCTCTCATTAATGCTGCATCTAATTAAAATGCATTTGGACCCATGAAATAATCAACTGTCTGAATGATCTGTCTGAATAGACTGGCCTTCTCCCATTACCTCTGGTGGTTTTTGGCAAAAGAGCCAAAAATGGCTGTGCTGATTCGGGGGCCAAGCTGGTGACAATCAGTTCTTTTTGTCATCTTTTTGCCGCCCTTTTTTCCTGTGAGACTTGGAATGGGATCAGGCACGTGCTATTTATGAGCTTCGTCCATGCTTCTGTCAGTGGTATATGTTGTGCTGTCATATGTGTTAAACATGATCAGATTGATATGCAGAGAAAAACATTAAAGTGTGAAGAAGAACAGAGACACAGGCCTGATATAAAAAATGTTTCAGTCATTGCATGCAATGCCATTAATACTGTGTCTTACTGTAAGAACAGTTTTAAATTTTTCTTGAAGGTTCACTAGCTGTTACCTAATGGTGTTTTGTTAATGCTTGGAAACATTGAGAGGTTGAAAGAGAACTCCCGTGCACTCTGTTGTGAATTGGGACATAATTAAATACACATTAAACTTGTAGGTGGACCATTTGGAGCCAAAGGGTGTAGTTGCTGGAGTATTAAACCATAATGTTGCTCATATATTCTGACTTCATCAGTTCAGTTTATATTTACATTATTATTTCTATTTAGGAAAATATCCTTGAGAGGATTCATTTTCACCTAGTGCCAAACAGTGAAACAGATATGTGCACTTCTAAGTCCTGTATTTCTCATCAGAAGTTTGCTATGACACTGTATGAACAGGTCAGCCCTTTAATTGCTTTAACAAATAATTTGTTTCCACTGTCCTGAGTAAATAAAATATAAAAGTATTTTTATTTTTGTAGTGTGTATGTCGCAGTTGTGGAGCATCATCAGACCCGTTGCCTTTTACGGAATTTGTGCGTTACATTTCTACCACAGCCCTGTGGTAAGAGATTTTACACTTGTGTATGTAGAAAAATGAGATACCCTTACAGTAATAAAAAAAGCATGCCAGAGAAATGCTGGAAGTCTTAAAAATGAATATATATTTCTTCATTACAATGTGCGTTTGAGATACTGTCCAAAAGTAATATTTGGATTTCAAAAGCAAGATGTAGAGAAAGCTTGACAATAAGTATGTATTGCTGGTTTACCTCTGTATCTTTTCTTTTTAGTCACAAGATAGAGTTGATTGAGAGTTGACTGAAATCTGTTAACTCTTAAGAAGGAAGAGTCACAGTTTTTTCCATTTATTTTTCACAGTAATGAAGTGGAAAGAATGATGGAGAGGCATGAACGTCTCAAGCCAGAAATGTTTGCAGAATTGCTGCAGGCAGCAAATACTAGTGATGACTACAGAAAGTGTCCTGTAAGTAAGCAAAGACGTTACATTGCTGTAAGATACAAAAGAGAACGTTTTATGATATTAAATCAGGCTAAAGTATTCCTCTAAAAGCAGGATTACCTGTGGCCATTTATGTGCAGTCCAGCTTAGGGTAAAAAAGGCCCTGTTTCGGTTTGTTTTTTTTTCCCTTCAGTTATAGATAAACATGGTATTGTAGGTGCAGGTGGCCTCTTTAGAAAGTCAAGTTTTTAGGTGCATGTTTTATTCTTTACTTCAACATAGAGCTAGATTTTTTTGTTTAGTTGGAACAGGTATATTTTCTGAGTGAATCAGCTTTGGTTCATAGATATGGACAGCTTGACAACATTGTCTTCTATTGGAATAATTTTGTGCTTTTATTGACATATTATTATACTTAATTCCTCTCTTATTCAAATGATTTTATGTCTGTACTGGTAGTTTAGGGACCGTAGAGAAGTACAAAAAACCATATAGACCTAAGCTTAAATTATGAAATTACAGGGAATCAAAAGAGAAAATTTTATGGTGACTTGCATTTTTTCAGAGATTTCTGTTTTAAGATGGTGATTGGATGTAGAAGTTTAGCTGCAGTCTCCATCAGAGTGTTTTTATATGAAGAATTTTATCCTTAAATTGTTAGAAACAAACATAATAATTAAATTTGAGATTTAGAAGAAGTTGCAGAGTAGTTTTGTTGCACTGTTTCTTGTGCAGTAACTCAACTTTGAACTTCATTTTTTAAAACGTTTTCTTTCACATCACTTTTTTTCCTTTTTTCTAGAGTAACTGTGGTCAAAAAATAAAAATTCGTCGTGTTCTTATGAATTGTCCGGAGATTGTCACAATCGGTTTAGTCTGGGATTCAGAGCATTCTGACCTAACGGAAGAGGTTTTGCGGAATCTGGCTACACAACTGTATCTTCCTGGGGTATCTGACCTAAAACTTATTACTTGCTTATTCCAGAATTTAAGTTTAAATGTATTTTATGTAGATGTAAATATATTCAAAATATACATATACATATGTATTTTTTAAAAAATATTATTTAACTTCAAAGTTTGTCTACTTTTACTATTCTTTATAATGTACTGTTTGATATAGTTTCATGAGAGTCCTATAAGAAGTGTTGGTCTTGTGCCAAAGTATAAAGATGAACGTAGGTGAATTTCTAGTTGACTATCTAGGAATATCATGTTCAGTTTGAAATTTGTGGAATTACTCCAGAGGATTATTGTTTTACCCTTTCAACTTCGCAAAAATAAATGTTAAAATAGACCTAGTAAGTACAAAAATCAGTATACTCAAGAAAAGTTGTATAATGCAACAGGATATTTAATACCAGTTGTATTGGTGAAGTGCCAGTAGCAGGTCTGGAAATACAAGCTAACTCAGTTTTACACAGAATCACACAGAATCACAGAACGTTAGGGATTGGAAGGGACCTCAAAAGATCATCCAGTCCAATCCCCCTGCCGGAGCAGGAACACCTAGATGAGGTTACACAGGAAGGCGTCTAGGCGGGATTTGAATGTCTCCAGAGAAGGAGACAAGTTTTACACATATTTTAAAATATATTTAACCTATTTTTACAGCTGTTCTATAGGGTTACAGATGAAAATGCCAAAAATAGTGAACTTTTTCTTGTGGGAATGATTTGCTACACAAGCCGACATTATTGTGCCTTTGCCTTTCACACCAAGAGTTGCAAGTGGGTGCTGTTTGACGATGCTAATGTGAAAGAGGTAACTACTGTTTTTACTGATGCCAAATTTAGTGATCTTTACTTTTCTACAACTAGTTCTTCTGACACCAACTAGAAGCAAGTCAGACAAAAGTCTTTATTTTAGTGAATGTTTGGTTTTGTAAATCAATTTTCACAAATGAATTTTAGAATTGACTTCACTATTTTACAGTTCTGCCTTCCAAATGTTTCAGAGTGTTAATGCTCTTGTCTACTGTTGAATTTGTACTTCTTTTAATGAAAAATATGACTTAATTGCTGGTGGCTATATTTATAGTGTTGGTAATATAGGTCACCATTTTTTCACAATTTTCATAACTCTTGCCAAAATGCTGAATTATAATGTACTTCTGAAATTAGACATTTGGTACCTATTGCTTAATAAATTATTTGTTCCATAATTGGGTTCAGTGGTACTGGTAAAGAAAGTTTTGGGATTTTGTTTTGTGTTTTCTTAGATTGGAACAAAATGGAAAGATGTGGTCTCCAAGTGCATTCGATGTCACTTTCAGCCATTGTTGCTATTTTATGCTAACCCAGATGGCACAGCTGTATCTCCAGAAGATGCTCCAAAGCAGATTATTCATTGGTCTCAATGCAAAGCAGTGGGAGGAAATGGGGAAGACTTGGGTAATTATTTTTTTTTTAAATAACAGTATCGGTTAGATTTCTGAAATGGGGATTATAAAGGAGTAAATAAAGGATTAGCTGCTTTGTTCTTAAACACTTTTATCGCAAAGTGTCTAAGGGGTCTCACAAAAGAGATTAGTGTATATTCAATGTTAGAACTGTGTTTTGTGTCTGATACAGGAATACAAATTGAGACTCACAGGAAATGGGAAAAAAAAATTTCTGTTGTAGATTGTTTGGCCAAAACTGTACACATAAGTTCAGTAATTTCAGAAGGAAATTGTAGTGTATTTGTATATGTGGATGTTCTTGTGTGGACTGATAGATTTAAAACATCTTTCAAAATGCTATAAAAAGATACTTTAAGTAAAGCTTTGTACAAATACAGTGTTTGGAGTGTTTGTATTTTTGTGTATCTGTGTATGTAGACACACACATAGAGCACCAATTCAGAACTTTGAGAAAAATCAGAAGAAACTAGAAACTTCTTTTCACAGAATCACAGAATGTTCATTAGTTTTCTCAGAGATTGTTTTAGCATAGGCCTCAATATGTAAGAATCCAGTACTTTGGTTCTGTAGTTTCTACTGCTGTCTTGTTTGTTTTTTTTAATGTTAAACATAACATACAAGTAATTTAAATAAAAGGCCAATTGAATTTGACATATTCCTCTTCACAGTAGCAATAGGACATAGACTGCTTCACAAAAGAAAGAATTGAGAACCCTATTCTACTACAGTCTATCATTACAAATATGGCAGTATATAAAATGTTTCGGAACCTTATTGCCTAGCTTATTGAAATGCGATGGGGTTTTTTTTGTGAGGTTTTTTCCTTGTTAAGTTTTTAATCAGCAGTTAAAATGTTTTCTTATTTTTTCAATTTAGATATTGGAAACTCTAAATTAGGAAGCCTTTAATTTCTAAAATTGAATATGTTATTTTATAGGATTTGAAAAACATTCTGCTCCAAAATCAGACCACATGAAAGAGAATGGAATTGGAGACTCCACTAATCAAAGGAGTAATAAAAAACTTCAGCCAGATAATTCAGGATTTAGTAGAAGCCATATTCAGGCTAGTGGTGGTAGAGGTCCAGGTATGTATTCCTCATCCCCCAGAAAAACCCAACCGTGCCTCATTATGAAATGTTTCAGTTGATAGCATTTCAGGCGTGTGTGCTAACCTCTGGACTAGAACTATTTCTAAAGGAAGAATTCCATTGTTGATTTGAATGAATCTTTGAATGATGTCTGATATTTAAGTAGTATCTGCCGTGAAATGTTAACTTTTCAGGTAAACTGTAAATGCAACATTTTTTTATTACCCCTCATTATTCCTGCACCGAAGTGGCTCTTGAGGCCTTAATCCGTTTCTCACACATCATTATACCTTCCAGTCATTTTGTCAGTTAAAAGGCACGTTAGAAACTGATCTGATCTTTCGGAGCACATGGTGTGGCGCTCTGGATTGTTGGCTATTTGAGGAACACTGTTCCCAAACAGTATTGTGATATGCAGCATTATTTGTAGTCCTGTATATTAATGGACTTTATCTCATGTTTAGAAAGAACATTAAAAAAGTTGTCTTATGTGTTTAAAAATCCATTCTGTCTGTACATTAGGCTTCCAAGCAAATCAAGCTATAAATCATATGAGGAGGCAGTGACTTCTGCATTACTTGTGCCTTTGCTCTCAACTCCCCATACTTCTCAGGTGGAGAAATGCTGCTTCTCCAGAGATCTGTTTCTCCTCTGTCTATATTGTTGAATTCTTAGACTTTTAAAACTGAGAATGCTCAGCTTGGTAACATATTTGATGGAGTGATGACTCAAAAATGTTCAGTATTTATCTTTTCCAGAATAGAAGGATTTGTTTTCATAAGCAGTGACTCCACTGTTTTATTAAAAGTAAACTTTCTCATTTAGGCAGATTAAATTTAGATTTTTTTCAGTATAATTTGTGAAATTCGATATAAATAGTACATGCTTTGAAAATGGCTTGAGCATTGAATTTTAATAAGTAAAAGGTGTTTGTAAGACATGCTTGACATACTACTGTTCTGGTTGCTTTCATTAGCTCCATTTAATGGACTCCTTGGAGATACCTCTACACTGTACCTCATCTATACTGTATATCTCTCATTTTCTTAATCTGTGTTATGTAATTTATTAGTCTTTTTAAGTAGTACTAATATTAAAATCTAAATGTTATGTTATATAAAGATATTTGTGTGTTTTGTTCATTAATAACTTTTTAGTAATCATCTTTAACAACAAGTATTTTTTTGCAGCTAAGTTAGGTTACAGTGATCAAAAGGACAGGCTGAAGGACATATCCAGAGAGTGTGCTCAGAAAGTTGCTGATATGAAAAACTTCTCATCTTTACGGAAAGATGTGGACAGAGGACCAAGAAAAGAGTCTGGAAGACAAAGAGGTACATTTTAAAAGTATGACCTGAGAATCAGTGCTTTAAATAGCTTTTAGTGTCAATACTAATGGTGCAGACTTTTTTCTCCTTTGAAGAGAACAGGCTGTAAGATTAGAATTTCCTGGTTTTCAGTATTCTGAAAAATTTACTGAATTTGTTGAGATAGCGTAAGAAAAATCTGTATTGTGATATAATTTAAATATTAGTGAGCACTTGAATAGAGCTTTTTTTCTTTTCCCTGTAAGATTTGATTGGGGAAGATCATTCCAATGTTAAGTCGGGATCTCCTCCAGTTGGAAATGGACTTAGACAATGTGCTGATCAGCGCATATACAGCAGCCAGGGAAGAGGCACCTACAAGCATGACAATGCACCTCACCAAGCAAAGCTTTCTATACAGGTGCTTGGATCAAATAAAACAGAAGGTTTTCCTGCTGGGGATAAATCAATGATCAGGACCCGGACTGATGGTGTCACTGGCTACGATACAGACACCAGTCAAGACTCTAGGGACAAAGGAAGTAGCAGCAGAAGCAGAAGTAAAGGTTGGAAGCCTATGCGAGAGACACTAAACGTAGACAGCATTTTCAGTGAGACTGAGAAAAAACAGCATAGCCCAAAGCACAAGGCAAATCCTAACAGTAAATCCAAGCATGAAAAGGAACGAAGCTTTAACCATTGGCCAAAAGAGAACCAAATCCAGAAAGGTTTAATGACTATATATGAAGATGAAACAAAGCAGGATACAGGAAGTCGAAGTTCGCTGGACTCGGAGGGGAAAGGGAATGCTGAAAAAAGCAAAGGACTCACAGAGAGAAAAATCCATGGTGATAACTGGCAAATTCAGAGGACAGAGTCTGGATATGAAAGCAGTGATCATATCAGCAATGGATCTGCAAATCCGGACTCACCTATTATTGAAGGAATCAATCCGGCAGATGTCAAGAATGTTAAAGAAAGTGCTTCCTCCAGGTAACACTAATGCTCTTAGGACTTGCATAGATTGTCATTACAGAAAAATAAGTTGTTCTAATATTGATCTGTTGTTTCAAAAACAATCAAGAAAACGTGCGTTGGCACTTCATATGCTTGAGAACATGTATGTCGGAAGGTAGCAATGTATAAGAAATAAGGGTGCAGACACCTAAGTGTTAAGTTTACCTTTGCTCTGAGGCTGCAACACTAGTTCTGTTTGGAAAGCACTGAGCCACGTTATTGTGGCACTGAGCCAGAACTGCTAAGCCCTGGTGAGCAGCAGGGTGTGTTAATTTGAAATACTTGCTGTGCTTCTTTAGTTACAAGTTTTTTAGATTGTGAGTAACATGCCTGTAATGAAATACAAACGTCTCTATAAATTGTATCTGTAACAGTTACACAGATAGACCTCTGACACAGAGATGGGAATGGCAGTAGGTGTATCTTGTATAGTGTTACTAGTTACTGTTCTAAAGTTCAGTTTTCTAGAAAACCTCAAATACATATTGATCACTGATAATTTATTGACCTGTTTGAAAGAAATCTTTGCTGAAAAGTAAATTGTGCTGAAAAGTACAATTGTGAGACCAAGCTTAGTCACAAATGATTGCTAGATTTGAGCAAATTTTTGGACATACAATTTCACAAAAAGTTATTTTACAGGGGAAGAGAATAGCAAATACCAGGAAGTGAAAAGGCTCTGACTTCTCTAAGTGTAGATGCAACTTTTAAAATTTATTTCATAAAGTATTGTAACAAATTATCAAAACAAAATTTTTATTTAAAATGTACAAAATACATCTTCTGAGTGAATTGAAATGTCTCCAATTACTTTGGAACTGCAAGAAAACAAAATTGGTCATTTGCCAAGTTCTTAGTTTCCTAGGGAATTATTGTATTTCACATACAGAAGCATAAATAAGGACATAAAAATGGACATGCCAGGATATGACCAAAGGTTCATCTAATGTGCACTCAGTCTATACCAGTAGCAGATGCTTATGAAAGAAGACAACAGATAGAGTGGGATTTTGTAAGTGTGTTCTTTTGGCCTTTATAGACTTTCTGGAGACTATGACTGTAGTGTTCGCATCCCATTAAAAAAAACCACTTTTTACCCCAAGGGTTTAACTGTTCCCCTCTTCTCCTCCCCCACTCTCACCTTTCTTTCCCCTCCCACCCAACTTACAAAAATCGTTATGGGCTTTTTTTGGATAATGATATAAATGTGTGTAAAGCCACTCTAAGCCATGTTTATATTTGCAGTGTTTGCAGTTGCCTCGAACAGTGATTTCTACAGTTTTAACCATGCCTCTTTTTTAAACATGCCCAAGAGGTAATGGGATGCCCAAAAGCCGCATCTGTTGTCTTATGAGAGGGAATATGGTAAATGTAAAACAATGTGGTTCATTAAGAATATGCTTACACTGTCGTTGAAATATTTGTCAAATACAGGAAAAACACTTTATCAAAATACAAATGACTTCTTGGGACTTTCAGAAGGGTTTTATATTGGAATTGACTGACAGTACCCACTAGTTCTAACCGCTCAGACTTTGTCTCTAAAACAAAAAAGTAGAAATGAATTACTTGAGGTAGAAAAAAGTGACTTAGTGTTTTGTTATCTGTTAGGTTCGTTCTCTCTTCTTGCTGATTATCTCAGTTTTTTTCTTGTTTTCCTGTCCTTTCAATAATTTGTTTTGTTGTTTGGTTTTTTTTAATTGCCGCTATGTGTCTTCTTCCCTGCCTTACTCTTCGAGAAGGAAGGAATTAGCAGGGTGTTTGTCAGCTACCTATTTGCATTGGTAAGAAATGCTTTTTACTTAACTAAACCAAGATTTACTAAATCTGCTTATTTTTACTTTTTAGAATTTTTTTTCTCCACTTGGATTTGCTGCTTCTTCCTATTTAAGAAAGAATTTTTTAAATTAAAATCCCTATGAATGAAAGACCAAGTGGTAAACGCAACTTAGAAGAATGATGTGTTGTCGTGACAAAGTAATGATGAATAGCAAAATGTCAAACTAGGAAAATGGACAGGATAGGATGTTAGCTAACACTTTACATGTGCTTAAGATACTGACACGGATGAGATTTTTGCATGTTTAGGAAACTTAAGCTTGTCATAGTCAGAGCCTGCTACATGTTTAACTTTGAAATATTCAAGGTGTAAACTGTTAGCACTGAAAAATATGTTTGCTTTGGACATAGGTGATACCGATGATAAATTGGAAACCATTTAGTACCACATAGGAAGTATTCTTTTGCTGCACTACAGTTATAATTCTAGGTAAAACTTCCAAATAAATTGAATTCGGTGACCCATGTTTTCTGTTCCATTTGAAAATCACTCCAGAAAACAGGTATTCAAAACTGTCATGTGTTTTTAATGGTCTCTGTTACTCTCTGTTGAGTGCTTACTTTTTGAAATTTTAATGAAAGTTTGCATTTTTTTCTCAGAGATGACAGATCATTTTTCTATTGTTGATAACTCTGAGAACCAGCTATCTTTATTAAGCAGCCGATGTGATATTAAAAAGCAAATTTTCTTGATCTTGTGTGCTGCCTATTAGGCAGTCTGCTATTATACTCTAGAATAGGGCTGGGATGAGTGGGCATCCTGGGAGCACCAGCCTCACAAACGGTGTTTTTTACCTGTCCGTATTAAAGGATTCAGATAATCCTAAATTTCTGTACTTTAGCACTCACCATCACGTGTGGGAGCTATGGGGCCACCCCTGCTATCTTACGTATCTTCTGTTAAGTGTGCGTGTGTGTGTTAGTAAAAAACAGTGATGATAACAAGAGTCAGTTTCACATAGGCTAAGTTTTTACACTTGTACCCTTTCAAGGCAGTAAAGCTTGTGATCATACATCAGTATTTTAAGCCTTCAAATTACACGTGTGCTTCTTTTACAGCGAACAGAACTTGTCAACCAAAAAAGCTGATAATGTGTTGCATTCAATATCCCAGCAGAACAGAAACTTCTATGGTAAGAACTTTAACTTGTATAAAAAATTAGAGGTTTTCTAAAAATTAATTTAGATATACAAAATTTTAATACTATCTTACTAATATCACACATGAGATGGTCAGATTTCTGATTAGCCTTTTGTATTTTATAGTATTGCTGCATAAGTTAATATATTTCATAAAACTGAAAATGTACACAGTTTTTAATAGGTTTCTTTTTTGTTTTTCAAGGCATAACCAAGTATTTCAAAGTTAGACAACTTGTATATCAGGTCAGCTGTACTTAGCTGGATTAGAAGAAAATCAGCATAGAATTTGTGGCTCTTTTGGCCATGATACTGGAGGGGTTTTATATACTCTTTTTTCAGTGGAGAGCTCTCTTGCTGACTCATCATAGCATGTGTACTCTGTTTTTAAAACAGCAAAAGAAATCTATTTAGTGGCGGGGGTTTTCCCTCCACAGCGAATTCCGAATTTTGGGTTTATCCATGTTTTTAACCTTTTCAGTGAGTTAGACTGATGGATAAAGATAGACAGTGTTCATATCCCTTCTTGGTACATGTTGATGGAACAACAGTTGAATAGCTGTTTCGCTTTTTTCAGGGGTATTTGAAGCATTCTGTTCCACAGAGCGCTTTAATTTGTTCTTGTAGAGCAAACGTGCAGTGTAAATGGTTTTCTGGCTACCTGCCATGATATATGGGTTCCCAGATAGAGGGGTTGAGGTTTTTTTTCCAGTGCTCCACCATCATGTGAAAAAAATTTTGTCTTAATACAGTATTAGCAATAGTGGTTCCCTACTTCTGTGCTACGCCATGAGTATGCATGGTGGATGTTCACCTATCCCTAGCATCTCCTCTCAGACAGCAGTGGCAGCACTTAGTGGTGTGCCGAGTCATGTCTCCCAAACAGTTGTTTAGCATGATCTCTAGCACCAAAATACCAGTCTAGGTGATTTATTTTTATTTTTTTTTAGTGCCTGGATATATTTTAAGTAAGGTATTTTAATATGGAACATCAGGTATCATTGTGGGAGGCCACAGCTTCTTTTGGTGTTAAATTGTTAGATCAATTGGGACACAATGATTCTTCTTGCCACAGTCCTCTCCTGGTGCGTTTTGTTACAAAGCATTTGCTTGACAGGTTGACAGAGCAGTTTGTCCTTTCTGGTGCATGTCATAGACCACCGCTGCCTCAGTAAGCGGCCAAGGTGTAACTGCTTCTGGCTGGTGTAGGTTCTCAGTGTGAGAAGTGAAAACACTGTTGTTCACCAGTATTAGTGATTTTACCAAGGCCTGTAGTAACATCACAGGGGTAACAATTTTAAACTGAAAGAAGGTAGGTTTAGATTGGACATAAGGAAGAAATTGTTTATGATCAGGGTGGTGAGACACTGGAACAGTTTGCCCAGAGAAGCTGTAGGTGCCCCATATTTGAAAGTGTCAAGGTCAGGTTGGACAGGGCTTTGAGCAACCTGATGTGGTGGAAGATGTCCCTGCCCATGGCAGGGGGATTGGAACTAGATGATCTTTAAAGGTCCTTTCCAACCCAACCCATTCCATCGTTCAACTATGCTGTGATTTTGGGTGACAGTCTGCTGGTATAAATCATCCTGTATAGTGCATTTCCACTGGACTTAACCAGTGCTTGCTTTTTAATCCAATGGAAATTATTAAATGTAAATCTCCATTTCCATTGCTTATATTCTGGTTTGAGAGTGTATTTCTCAGGTTAATGTTTGGGGTTTTTTTAGCAAGTGTGCACATTCCTTCTCCTCAAACCATAGTAATTTTGTTTACTCCCTGTGTTTTCCCCAAAAGCATTTCCATGAGCTTTCTTGCTGGATACTAAGGGAGATTTTTTTAAAATTACCTGGGTAGACTGTGTTACCATTTGTTTTCCTTCAAGTTATGAAGCAATATCAGGAAGAAACACTTGTAATACGGAAATCTACTTCCTTTTACATACTAATATGTCTGCTGGGTTTTTATAAAGTTGATAGATGCCTTAGTTTTATAAATATTATAGGTCAGCATGAGGCCAGCCAAAGCATGATCTGCTGTTGCTGGAACAATGGAATGGTGCTTGTACAAAGAGGTGCAATAAATATTAGGCCACTTCCCCAGGAAATGTTTGATTTTATAGATATCATAGTTCTTTTCAAATCATGTACAGTATAGTTTCTTCTAAGACTTAAACTGGAGGGAGGAAGGGGTTTGCCATGCAACTTTTATATTTTTTGTCATTATTCCAATTTATTTTTGGTTGTAGAAAGAGAACTAATTTGGTGCTTGTTTATTGTGACAACAAAAAAAAATGAACCCCAAATTGATGTTGCATGGAATGCCAAGATCTGTTTTTGCATGGCATTTATTCTGCTTTAGTTTTGTACTGTATTATACCAGTAAAAAAAAATAAGCGGTTGGGTAGGAAAAAAAAAACAACAACAACAAAAACCAAAACCCCACTAGTATAAAATACATGAAGGACTCTGTCACAATGAAAAATAGATGTGTTCAAACAATGATTGAGCTTAGTGATGAGTATTTTCTGTAAAGAACCATGTACTGCAGTATACTTAAAATGTTCAACATGCATCATATGTTTTCTTTAAAAGTGTAATGATTTCAAGTGATCCTTAGACTTATCATAAAACACTATCACAGTAATTGTCATAAAAAATTTATGATAAAATCCCATCTGTTAATTAATTCTAATTCAGTAACTAACTTTTGAAAAGTTGCATTAAAAAATGTGTGTATTCTAAATCAAATGTGAAGTTCTCATATGTGCAAGTTTTGGAAGACAGCACTTCTAGTGGAAGTGGTTAATGTCCTGAAAAGATAAGAAGAATTTGATCACATTTATGTGGGATTAAAGATTTTAGACTCAGTTTTCTGGTTGTCTAAAAGGTGTGTTAGGACACCTTTAGCACAAATAATTGTCATTTATGGGTATCAGTTGTATTACCTTATGCTGTGTCTCCAGATATGATGCAGAAGACATGAATTGGTAGGTAAATACCAAACAGACTCCTAGAAAATAATACGTTAAGAAAGAAATGCCCAGTTCTTTCTGAGAGAGGAATGGAATGTAAGAAATCTTCGTTAGCTGCTCATGGCAACTCGAAATAATATCTCTGGGTGGTGTTTTCTGTGTGGAAGACATCTTATGGAAATAATGTTGGACTTACAGTTATGCCCACCATTTGTATAACTGTGCTTTACCAGTTCCACATTTTCCACTGGAGCTGTATAAGGCTACTGTTCAGCAATTGGAGTTCTGGCCTTGACTTACGAAAATGAACTTATTGTTAGGGCATTTTAAAGATAGTAACATTGGATCACAGAGTGGTTATGCAGACCAAATGGCTGCTGCTTTTATTACTAGTGAGCAGTAGATAACTGGAGTGCTAAAGCAAATGTCCCACAAAACTGATCACTAATTTGTGTGATCAAATTTTGGAAGGAAAATGTGGTCATTAAGTAAGCAGATACAGTCTACTTGATTTATATTAATGAGTTACTGCTTGTGAAGTTTGAACTTGATGAACTGTTGAGGCTAGGGGGTTTTCTTGTTTATAAAGAACATGTGACACGAACAGTGTGAGGGGAAAATTTCCAACCTTACATTCTTCAAGTTGAAGAAAGATTAATGTAATTCTTGGAAACTGGTAAGGGCTATAGGCTTTAAAATGGATTTTTCAGAACAGTCTGTGTGACAGCTACTGATGATAATTTTCAGTCATAACAGGGGTTTAAGTGGCTTTCGTGACACCCCTCCTCGATTCGTAAGGCACAGATGACTTCATGAAATTGCCACTTTTCACAATTGCAATAAAAGGCATTACTGTTGGGAGGGTAAAGAAAAAAAAAATCCTAGAAGCTATGTTTTCTGGATTTCTCCCTCCCCCCATACACTCCCCCCTAAAACTCTGAGCACTTCATTCTTGAACTAACCTGTAGGCACAGTAAGCACTGTGATTAAAATTAGCTAAGTGCTTGATAGCCTCCTGCTTAAGGTGCAGTATTAAAAGCTGACCACTCAGTGATCTCAGAAATTGGTGTACTTGAAATCAGTGCCTTAAATTAATAATTGCTTCCCTTTGAAAAGAAATGCAAAGCAGTGTTTGTAATATTGCAAATCCGGAGGTTTTCCCATTAGTAATTACTCAGCTTAATAGCATGAGACAACTCCAACTAAAACCTAGAATGATTCTGAAACTCTGGTGAGGATTTAAAGAAAGATCCACATTGCCTTTATTTCTTTGTCACTTCAGAAAGCGCCACAAATAAATGATAGTTCTGAAAAAGAAAATTCATCTTCTTAGGAAAACCATATGTTCATAGTAATAATTTAAAATATGTAACTATACTTAAGAAAATCCGGTTGTTATCCTTATGGTGCAGTAGAAGTTGTATGACTGTCTTGTTTGAAGAACTGAGTAGTGAATTGAAGCATGCAGCTACCTAATTTACTTACCACGAAACAGAAACAAATAAATCCTTTTTTGGAGTGTCTTTAAATGATAGATTAAAGGTTTTTGTTTAAAAAAACAACAAACAAACCCAAAACCAAACCCTAAACTTTCTAGATTTCCAAGTGTAGTCAAGCAGCCAATGAAGACCGAAATATAAAGCCCTCTCATGTTTGTGATTCAGTTTATTAATGTGAGAAGTTTGAAATTTAAAATAGATGATGCAAAGGTTAAGGTTTCGGTTTGAAAACAAAAACCTGATAAACTTCTTGAGGCAAGCAGATCAGAACAAAGGGAGGGTTATAGTTGTCCTTTGTCAACTGTTGTTTCACTTCAGAACTTCCCTAAACTCTGACACACATGCATGTATGCAGCACCCCACCCCTCCAGAAAAAAAACCCAAAACAACAAACCAACAACGGTGGAACTTTTTTTTTTCTTTTTTCCTAGATGTTTAAAGCCATGGAACAAAATCCACTAATGTGGATGAATCTTGAAGATAAGGATTTTTTTTAAGATGGTCACTGTTTTTTAAAAAATAA